GCCAGGGGGACCAGCTTCCTTGAAATGATGATTGTGACAGGGACAATTCACTCCTCCTTCACTGATCATTAACGGGCTCTGACAATTTACAGGTGGAAGCCTCCGCATTTAATACCAGGGAGCCCCTGAGCTCAGGGACCTTGAGTCCAGTGGACCCTGAGCAGGACTTTTGAGGGCAAAGAGAGGGACAGGGTGGGCAAGTGCCAGGCCAGGGAGGGCCATTGTCATGCATGCTTTGGGGGAAGGAAGGGTTAGTAGCAGGAGGGACTACTAAACCCTGAGGATGCAAAGCAGACGTCAGGGTGAGGAGGGGTGGGGAAGGTCCCTCAGACAGAGTGAACTGTTTGTAAAGGCCTAGAGATAGAAGTTTACACACATGTGCACTCACACACACACACACACACACACACACACGAGACACAAAGTAAGTCCACCTTCTAAGAGTCTGAGTCAGGGAATTACAAGGGATGAGGCTAGAGACGTGAATGGGGCAGACTCTGATAAGCTATTCAAGGAGGTTAGAGGTTGCTTTGATAATCAACAGGAAGCTTTCAAAGTCAAAGGGTAACACCTTCAAATTTGTATTTTGGAAAGATCAACTCGGCTACATCCTGCATAATGGCGCGAGGATAAAACTGAAGCCAGAGAGATTAGTTAAAAAGGCTGTTGCCAAAATCCAGGGGGAAAACCGTTAGTTGCCTGAAACAAGGAAACGGCAGTGGGGGTGGAGAGAAACAGATGGTGGTCAAGGTAGAAATCAAAGTGGAAGGCCCTAGACAGTGATCAGCTATCAGGAGGAGAAAGGGTGCTGGCTTCGTGGGCTGAGCAACTGCACGTGCTCCAGTCTGTGGTGGAGAAGGGAATGCTGGTGGGGAGCTGGTTGGGACGAGGGAAGACCAGATGTTTAGGCCAGATGAGGATCTAGGGGTCCTAGTGGGATCCTGTGGCAGGGAGAACCACAAGGCAGTTTGACGAGGTGGAGGCTCAGCCTGCGGGTCCAGGGACAGGAGTCACAGGCAGACGGAAAAGACCTGCAACCCAGGAGCAGGGTCAGTGGCTCAGGGAGACTGCAGCAAATGAGCCAGGACTAAGTATGTGACACAGGCTAGGTGTTTGGATCAAGTGCCTGGAGAATGTGTTCTGGTCTCCACCACCCACTGGCTGCGTGAGTCTGGGACATTTCCTTCTCTTGGGTTTTATTTTCCATCTGTAAAACTTGGGCACTTGGGCGGCCTCAGCAGCTCCTCCATCATGTGGCGCTCTGGAGTTCTCCAAGACTCCCAGCAGCACAGGCCAGGGTGGGGGTGGGAGCACTGGGTAGCTGGGGCCCAGCGCTGTCACCTCCTCTTCAAACATAGTAGTCCTGCTTTGATTTATTTTGTAATTTGGCCTTCTGACTAAACTTTGATCTGGAGAAAAGGCTCCATTACTCAAAAGAGTTCGAGAGGGCATGACCTCTCCTGTTCTATTTGGCAGAAGGGCAAGAGACACACCTAACTGAGCACCTCTCTGGTTCTAGTGAGATTGTGAGTCACAGGTAATTTACAACTACAGACCTTAAGGCACTGTTTAGGGCAGGCTTGAAATCCAGGGCAAATTTATGGCCCATGTGCCCTAGAGGTCTAAGTGGACTTAGTGGTTAGCCTTAACAACCCACCCCTCCAGCTAAGGTAAGTGAGGTTCAGTTCTAGTTACATGTGCAAGTGATGGTAGGCTGGGCTAGGGCCACAGTGAGAAGGGCTGGGTCTCAGCATGAAGGCGGTGATCGACTGGCAATGTCTGCTCTGGACAGAAGACGTGTGGAAGTGCCGTGTGTGCTATGAATCTGCTAGCTTTGATCTAGTCTTTGCTCCGAAGCAGGACAGGAACGTTCATCTCTCATCGCTCTTGGCTGCTCTACGGCACTTTCTGCTTTCCTCTTGTGGTTGAGTACTTCAAAGGTCCATCCTGACTCACTTCCCAGGGAACTGACCATGTCAGGAAATGAAAGGGTTGCTCCCTGCAGGAAGTCAACCCCTCCATGAGTTCCTATTTGTGTGGGACTGGACTGTGGGTCTTTCCGACCAAGTGCAATAGGTGGCCTCATGGCCAGTGAAGTACAGTACTTCTCTGATGAGAATGGTGAGGGCCCCCGTTTCCAAAGCTATCTGAGGCTTTGTTCCTGAGACTCTGGACAGTGGTCCTGGTCCCACCTTGCTGCATTGTGCAAGGGGGAGGAGGGGGCAGGAGCAGGAAAAGCCACACCTCTTCTCAGGAAGCGAAATCCCTCAATTATGTTGACCATCTTTTAAAAAAAAGGAATCTTCGCTACCTGAATGCTTGGTCATGGGCCCATCTATGGGTCCTGGTGGTGGGGTGGGGCAGGGCAGGTGGGGTGATTTGCATGAGCCAGGTAGCAATTTTCACCAACCAGACAGACTGGGAAGAGTTTAATTTTCAGCAAGTTGAACTGGTTGGAGATGACAACTAGTAATGCGTGTACTTCTCCAGGGGTGTGACAGTTGAACTGGCTGGCTGAATTCAGGCCTGGGCTCAGAAGGCTGTGGTGGGGGGACCCAGGAGGACATGCAGTCCATTTGACATTCCTTTTCAGATTCAGAGCTTTGTTGCTCTCGAAAGGAACTTAGGCTACCCTTTATTTTTTTAAAAAAATTGATATCAGTCCAGTGTGGTGGTGCATGCCTCTAATCCCAGAACTCAGGGAGGCTGAGGCAGGAGGATGGCAAATTCAAGCCCAGCTTAAGCAACTTAATGATTTAATAAGACCTTGTCCCAAAATAGAATATTTAAAAATTTAAGGCTGGATGTGGTGGCACACGCCTGTAATCCCAGCACTCAGGAGGCTGAGGCAGGAGGATCGCTGTGAGTTCGAGACCAGCCTGGGCTACATAGTGAGTTCCAGGTCAGTCTCAACTACATAGTGAGACCCTGTTTCAAAAAACAAGAAACAAACAAACAAACACATTTTAAAAGGGCTCAGGTTATAAAGGCCTTGGTGTCAATTCCTAAGACAGCAAAAACCAAAACCAAAAACTGTACTTGCATAGGGACTGAGGAGTTTCCTGGGAGAAAGAAAGCTGGGATCCTGTCCTCACTTGTGATCCAAGGATAAATGACCAGGCCCAGTGGGTGGGTGGATGGTGAGAGGAGCACAGGGTTACTGAGTAGGCCATTGCTTCGAGAGAAGAGAGAGCCCACATGGGGTCAGGGGCCGGTCCCTGCCAGGTGAGAACCCTCCTGACAGAGACCCTGTGGGAAAGGGTGAGGGTGAACACTCAGAGGCTCAAAGGCTCCAGTGAGTTTGGGCTCTGGGAGCATTGCTGGAAGGTCCCTCTCAATGGCAGAAGCCTTGACACTTAGATCCAGAGAGAAGAGGTTCCCTAGACATGGAGCCCAGGTAGCACCTGCAGGCCCCACACACTATGATCCGATGAGGAAGAGCCAACTGTGGCTCACGGCTCAGGCTCTAGCAGCGGGTCTGCCCTTCTCCCTCTCTGCCAGGCAGTGGAAATGCTCAGAACCGACTTGGCAGGTATTTAAACCTAGTGGTTAAAAGCACAGATTCAAGAGGCTGAGGACAGCTCAGTTTTAGAGCGCTCCCCAGTATGTGCGAGGTCGAATTCCTAGAACTGCAACACAGAACAAAACAAAGCAAAACGAAACACCCCACCAACTCTGGAGCCAAACTGCTTGGGTTTGAATCTTTCCTCTATCACTTATTAACCGCGTGGCTCTGAGCAAGTGGCTTAACATCTCCTAGCACTTATACAGGTGTGAGGAGGGTTAGGTTAATATGTGTAAAACCATATATGGTCAATGGTTACACTTACTGGCTGGTACGCACATGCATCCCTGGGTGGTCTTGCAGGCACAGTAGTGAGTGATAGGAGCCTGGAGAAAAGCTGGAAAATCTTGCTGACTTGGTAGGTGGGGCCTCGAGCTGGTGTATTTTATTGCAGTGTGTCTCAAACTTGAGGATACACGGAATTACTTGGAGGGCTTGTTTGAACAGATTCAGGGGCCTCCTCCCAGTGTGTCTGGGCTGGAGCTTAGAATCTCTTTCTCACAGCTCCCGGGCCTGCAGACCACATTTTGAGCAGCATAGCTTTGACTATTGTGGTAAGTGTGCTTTATTTATTCTTCCGGCTGTGAAATCTGTCACACATCTCTCTATTCCACCTGCCATTTTGTAACCAAACTATAAACTCGGCCAAGGCAGGGCCCATGATCTACTTCCTAGTGTCTGTGTAGCATCTGCCATGTAGCAGGTGCCCGGTAAATATCTGCTGATGGGAGGAAAGAAGCATGCTTTTAGCACTCAACAATGTTCTGTGTGCATTTTCGGGGGTTAATAAATATTCTTCCACAGTATTGTTTGGTTGGTTGCATAGTTTTCCCTTGTATGGATATGAGTGAGAGAACAACTTCAGCTTGCTGGAACAAGAAAGAAGAGTTTCGTTTCAGGGGGCTGAGCGCCTCAGTGACTGGAACCAGGGACTGCAGGGCACTGCAAACCCACAGAAATCTCTTTCCTGCTGTCTCTCAGCTGCATCATTCTGTCACTGCTTTGCTCCCGTTCCTTGTCATTTGCTCTTCTTCTGTCTATGTGACATCCAACATAGCTACCCACATCTCCCAGTTCTCTTGGTATAGATCCTGCTAGTCAATAATCTCTGGTTCTGGGCTTTCTTCTTTCTCTTAAATAATCTCAGAGGAACTCTGATTGGCCCTTCTGGGTCAGGCGCTCACTCCTCATCCAATGGGGGAGAAGGGTCACATTCAAATATGTCTGCTAGGTGCCCTGGTGGTGGGAGGGGTTTAGGAAAGTGGGTCGTGGTGATCCTCAGTGATCCATTCCAAATTACCTTCCATTTATCTCTCTATCTCTCTACTTAAATCTGATTTCAGTTTCAATCTGGTGACCAGGATTTGGTTTCTGTGGACTTCTCTGGCCTCAGAGCAGGGATTTTACTGATTTAACTCCATCTCTCATCCATTAGGGACAATGGCCCATGGCAACACCACACGTTGGTCTGAGATCTTCGAACATTTAATCCGCACAATGTGATTTTGAGGGAGGCAGGAGGTTTCACCCAGCGTGGCCTGTTTAGTACCAGCAAGTCTGTTCATGATCCGAAATGCAGCTGAAAAAAATAAATATAATTAAAAAGACAACTCCGGCCAGCATTCTCAGAGACTGCTTTAACATGGGTGCATAATGAATGCTAAGCTCAGTGCAGCAGTGCCAAAAAGCAAAATAAATTCTTGAAGTTGGTCTGTTTCCTGCCTGCAATGCATTTGCTTGTTCCAAACAAATATATTTGTCAGTGGAACACAATTAAGAAGGCTGAGCCAATCAGACCATCAAATACCCAGAGAGGCAGAACATGGCTTCCATTCACCCTGCTGGATTGAGCCAAGGTCTGAATGTGTTCTGGCCAAAACTGTTATGACCCAGGAGAGCTGTGCAGACCCCGCCAGGACCAGCTTTCTTAACCCTTCCGGTTACCAAGCGAAGGAGTTCACCTTTGTCTTTTCCCTTCCTTCTCAGTGTTCCTCATAGGAGGCGCCCCCTCCTCAGTCTTTTAGGTTAATTTGATTCTCTTTTTTGCCAATAGCGAGAAACAACTGCTGACGTAGACAGGTTTTAGGATGAAGGCCTGCCAAACTGAGGCTAATAATGAGTGTTCAGAATAGCTACTGTTGGATGTATGCGTGCCAAGCTTTTGACATTCATGGTTTCTCCCGATCCCCACAAGTATCCTGGGGTAAGTACTGCCAGTTCTGTCTTATACACGAGGAAACTGAGGCTCACAGAGGTTCAATGACTTTTACGAGGCCACACAACTAGTGAGCAGCTATACTGGGATTCGAACTTGTATGTGGACGTTTAAGCTAAAAGGCAGATGTAACCTGACTTACGCTGGCTTTAAGCAAGAAGGCATTAAATACCCTTTGTGAACTGACAGCCCAGATGTGAGCTTCAGGCAGAGCTTAATCCTGCTGCTCCCGGACGTCTTCAAGGACCTGGATTCTCTCTGTTTGCCCTACTCTCAAACTTAGGCTCACTCCACCGCATTTTGTGGCCCTCTACTGCCCTTGGTTCTCCCTTCAGGAAAGTAAAAACAGATGCTGCCGTAGCTATATTCTTGAAATCATCCAGCCATATCAGCCACATCAGCCTTGAGAAGAAAAAACAATCCTTCTCATAAGGCCAATGGGCAAGAGAGGAATTTCTCTCACTCTCTTGCTGTCCCATGTGCCTGGGCCAAGTTAGGTGCCCATACAGAGCCATAGCACATGTGCTGATTGCTTTAGGTGGTCAGGCCTCCCTGGCCCACCAGTCAGAATGGTATTAGTCTCAGCAAAGTCTTTTGGCCGAGTTGGGGCACAGGTGCAATACCAGAACAAACCTGGGTGCTGTCATGAGCATAGGGGAATGGACTGGCAGAAGGCACGGCCCAGGTAGTTAACCCACTGGCTGGGCACAGGTACTGACCAGGCAGAATGGATGCTTGGCACAGGGACTCTTAGTTGCTGTTTGCTGCTCAGAGTGGGCTCCTCCGGCCTAAGTGAGCGTGGTGGAACTGCAGGATCCCTAGTCCCACCCCTGACATCCTGATTCAGTGTTGACAACTGAGCGAGTTCTCCAAGCTGTTGACAAGACTCAACACAGCGTGGGCAAGGCTGATGTGCAGGAAGAGTGGGTGTCTAGATCAGACCCACAGACAGGGCTCCAGCTCAGGTTCCATCCCTCACCATCTAGGTGACATCGGGCACAGCCGCAAAACTATCGAGGGGTATAGAGGAAATGCATTTATAGAGCAAATGGGGAAACTGAGCCAGAGAGGCTTCCACCTGCCCAAGACACAGAAGCGGAACTCACTGCCCTCCTGAGGGCTAGCCTGAGATTTGACTTTTTCTGTATACCAGAAGTTCAAGCACTGGCTGCACATGTGACTTTTCTAAGCAGTTTAAAATAATCTTGATGTCAGGGCATCATCCCAAATCAACTCAGTTGGAACATCTCTGTGGGGACCTGGGATTGGTACTTTTCAAAGCTCCCCAGTGATTCCTACAAGCAGCCACAGTGGAGAACCAGCACCTCATGCTTTGCTGCCTTCTAAATTAATGCAGACAAAATAAAGCTTTGCTTTGAAGGCCTCTGTGTTTCAGGTGCAGTGGTACCAAGGGCTGGCATGTCCTGCCATGAGGGGCTGAGCACAGGCTCCAATGAGGCTGTGCCGGGATCAGCTTGCACATTGCGGACAGCCGGTGCCAGGGGGCCAGCGGGTGTGGACCCAGCCACTGCCTTGACCTCAGGTGCAGTGGGGCAGGCAGGAAATTGTGACCTCCTTACACGAGCGAGAAGACATTCTGAACCCTCTGTGTGTCCAGGATTGATGGGCACCTGGGGAAACCTCTGAGCTCTTCAGAAAAATGAATTTATTTTCCATAACAAGACTAAGGAAAGACAGTTTTGAAATACAACTGTCAAGGTATTAAAAAGAAGCACACACGTGCTTTATTAACACATTGGATTACAAAATCCAGCGGTGAGTCTGACAGCTCCAGAAGTTGCAGTGTGATGAGCAGGACTGACATTCTGGGACGTGGCAACAATGGCCCCATGAGAGACACATATTGGTGATTTCTATTGGTGACCAAATTACAGGCTCTGTTAATCCCATCAGGGTTTGCTGCTCACATTTGTGATGGAGGCAAATGCTGAATTTTGGAGAGAGGTTAGTGAAAATAATGATCTAACTTTACTCAATGCAATCCACCCCTCTGCCTTCTATCTGAGGACTTGACGGGCTGAGGACCCAGGCTAAGGCCCCTGGGAGGTAGGAATGGGCTGCAGGAAGGTGCCCATGGGCACAGTAAATCTCCACCAGGAGACCTGACCTGATTTCTTTCAAGGTCCTGGGTGCTGAGGCCCCCGGGAAAACGGCATGTGTCCTGGGGTTAGGGGTGTGTAAGGGAGGGGTTCAGGGCTTTGGAGCAGAACACAGCAAGGTTCCTGGAATATTGCCCAAGCTCTTGGGACCTCTTTATCTTCATCAATAAAACAGTTCCTCACACTCACTTCCAGGGTTGCTGTGATAATGAAGGACCCTGCCTAACACAGCAGCAGTGAGCTTGCCAGTTAAGCGTGCTGACTGACTGAGTGACCTTGTCGAAGTCCCTTCCTTCTCTAGGCCTTGGTTTCCACAGCTGGTTGTGGGGCTGCAGGGCCAGACACCAGGGTTGATCACTATGGCGGTCAGAAGAGGGCCTGCTTTAGGACCTCCCCATCCCAGGCTGTACAGCCAAGGCCTCAGGCATCCTGGGCGACTCCAGCACAGCAGCCTTGGAGACTGGGTGTGCCCCGTGTCCCTGCCTGGACCATGCAGGACACCAGTTACAGGACAGCCCAGGAGGACCTTGGTGACTAAGACCTCAGACACACCAGGCTGTCCCTGCAGTGAGGACAGGTGTGGGGGTTGTGGTGTGTGGAGAAGTTAGGTGGGAGTCCTGGTTCTTCCAGCATGAAAGGTCTGACTCTGTTTTTGCAATACTTGGACCACTGGCCAAGATGGTCCTTAGCTAGCAGGGACCAGAGCTCTGTCTGGTATCTCTCTGTCTCCGTTTCTCTCGCCCTCTCTGCATGTCCTTGTTTCTCCTCCCTTTCTCCCCCACAGAGTATCTTGTCCCTGTCACCCCCTTATTTGGTCAATTTCTTTCCATGGCTTGACTTTCTCCATCTTTTTCTCTGTCTCCATCCCTGTTCCTCTCTGTCTCAGTGTCTGTCGCTCTGTCCCTGTCCCTTTCTCCATCTTCCCAGCTTGTCTCTGCCTCTGGCACTGGGTGACCACAGAGGGAGGACAGGTGCATCCCCCGAGTCCCCAACCCCACCTCTCCGAGACGTTCTTGGAGGGGCGAGAAGGATGGAGCTTGCTGCACACCTATGACTCCCGGGGACACCAACCACCCCACCTAGAATTCTGTCTCCACAGGGTGTGAACTCCATGGCGACAGTGAGAGGGCCTGCAAGTTACCTTCCATCACTCGTGACTACAGTCCTGGAAGAGGGCTCATGTTTAGTAAAAATTTATTTTCACACCTAGGTGATGTAATGAAGAAAAGAACTTACAAATTATTCCTAACAGGTGAAAAATTACTCAGGGTTATTGTCTCCTCTTTGTCATTTCAAGTGAGTATTCACCTCAGATATTCAAAACTGTAGTTAATTCTTTATATTTAATTTGCTTTTTTAAAAAAAAACATGAATCCTCCTACCACCATTACCACTCTCACCATCTCACATTCCAGAATTTTCTGAGAGGATGCTACGTTGTTTCCGGCTTCAGGATCTTCACGCTCTCGGCACTCCCCACTCACTCCTGCACATTCTTCCCATTTCCTTGCAGATGTCCATTCTCCGGGAGCTTTGCTGGCTCTGCCAGGCTGGTTTAAGCTTTCTGCTTCAGTTCTGTTGCAGGGCGCTGCACACGCACCTCTGTTCTCTTCTGCCTCGCCTAGTTGGCCTGCAGGCTGCTTGTGGGAAGATAGTGGCTTTCCTCGGCATTCCCATCGCCCCATGCCGACCAAGTGGCAGAGAAACCGGGGACTTCTGAAGAGGTGCTGGGAGCTCCGCTCTCAGCTCTAGCTTTGGCTAGACAGTCCTGTCCCGGGATGAAAAGACCAGCCAAGGTGCGGGTGGTGGAGACAGGGTGAGCAAGCTGCTCCCAGGCACCCGGGAACTCAGAGCTGGCAGCGCCTGGCTGAGGCAGAAGCTGCACAATCACTTCCTGTCCTTTAGCTTCCACTTTCCATGTGCTGGTTCTGAGCCAGGCAGAGCCCCGGGCAGAGAAATAACTACCTGTTCAAACCGGTGGTTCCACCCCCACCCCACCCCCTGCAATAGCTTTTTCAATTGGAGGAGCTAAAGTGAATTAATTGAGGACTGTGTGGGTTCCTGTGCTCGCATTGTGTCCCAGAGCTCCCATTCGAGAAATGTGTACGATCCCAGTCACGAATGCTCCGCTCCCTTCTACCCCCTGTGCTCCAGAGGGTTTTCCTAGCACCGCCTTTGTGGGCTCCCTTGAATGACTGCCATGCCAGGGAGGCCACGCATTCCTCTGGCGGCTGCCTCGCTGGGTTTTGAGGAAATCTGCTGCTGAGGC